GGGTTACTCCCTGCCTTGCTTCCATAGCCTCCAGGACAGGCTCCAGACCCCCCCCCCGGTGACCCTGAACAGGACAAGCAGGTACCGAAAATGGATGGATGGATTTATTTTTCCCATAACAGTTAATGAAGAGTCCCCGAATTTCCCATACCACCTAATTTTTAGTCTAAAAAGACAATCGATCATTTATACCTGACTAGGTAATGTCATACTTGCAAGATATTTTCAAAACACAGATGCAGAAGACTCAGGTCCTAGTAGCGGATGTGTTGCGAGTCCAGCCTGCATCCACAGAGCACAGCTTCTCCCTGCAGGAATATATGCCGGCATGATAATGTAATTCATGTCCGTCAGTGATTGCACAGATTATAGAACAAGCAGAAGGTCATTCCAACAGCAGGCCAGTCTGGCTAGCTATCAGCGTGCGGCCGTTCGGCGACAGGCTAACGTTAGCATCGCTGGAAGCGATATGCAGAGGCTGTTTGTCGTCGCGACGTCTAAGGGGATGCGAGAAGTCAAATCAGATTCATGGACTGAGACTGTGGTGAAGCTGCGGTCTGCGTCCCTGAGGGAGGAGGAGACACTAAAGTGAGGAGGGAGGTCAGGAGCCGCAGCGAGATACCATTAGCATGCTTTGGTTTGTATGCTAAAGAAAATCACTAGATCCGGAGTAATGGAATTGCAGGATTCCCTCGGTTACTGGCTACAGCTGTCACCTGGGAGAATGAGCCGAGGGAGAGGAATGAGTCCCGTTCCGAAAGCTGAAGGGGCGCAGGTCAGGACTCGCCCTCCGCCGATTCCAGAAATTGCCAGAGAGGTGTGAAGAAATGAAGCCGCTGAGATCACGTGCGGACGGGGACACCTAGCGTGTCGAAAATAAGCCGGGACAGTCTCTCCCCCCCCGTTTCCCCAAACTGGGAGTCACATGGTAGGTACGGGCCAGGACCTGCAGGAGCAACACGCTGATTTGTGAAGCATTTTCTAGAAGATTCCCTTCCTGAAAAGATGCCAATCCTTTCTTTACGCTCCGCCGTGGCGAATTTCAGGCATGCAGGCAAACATTCTGGCCTCAAATTTTCCTTGCGTTCAATCACCGAACAGTTTTTAAAAATGACTTTTTAGAAAATCCTTCCAAAAATGAGTTAGTGTTGTTTTTTTTTTTAATCACACACACATATTGAAGAAATGCTTCCCAGCATACAGTGGCCTGTACAGTGGCACAGAGTCTCTTACAGTGTCCTGAGGTATTTTATTTTTTTGGTCACCAACACTTCGAAACATGGAAAAATACAACAGTGTTCAATCTCTGCAGCCTGATTTGGACCAGAGCAAGCGACTCCAGGCAGCAGCGAGGCGAATAGTCAAAACAAGGCGACATCCCAGTGGTGGACTGGTACTTGCAGTGAGGGGGGGACACATGACTTGCTGTTACTCCGTGCCACTTCCCCTGTTCCCCTGCTATGGGTGTCGCTATAACAGGACAGAGGATGAAATGCAATGAGGGTCTCTGCCATGCATTATTCATCCAGGAGAAAAGGCCTGCATGAAGAGCCAGTGGAGGGCAGGCCAGGCTGCAGTGTCTGTTATTCATTTACACAGAGCAGCGTAAAATGCCCGAAAGAGGCAACAGCACCTGTCCGTACATCCAGTTTCTGTACTTTCACTCGTTTAATCTTATACCGATCTAATTAAGTCGCGGATCTAAACATTTTATTGTGCTGGAGAAAGGCTTTGTATTTTCCAATACTGGGGGATAGCTTTGCCTGAATCTGCAGAGTGCGCGCGCGCCCGGGAAAGAGTGCGCGCTCACTGCGGGACGCACTGTTTGTATGTAAGGCAAAGATTCATAGCCCACAGCTGAAATATACTACAGTATATCTAAAACAGTACTACAGTGCAATACTACAGTGCAATTGGGCTAAACAAGCTGAAAATTAGTTGACAACATATTGACTGTTAATTAAAAGCAACATGATTCATTATTGTTATGCGATGTGAAAAGTAAAAAAAAAAAAAAATACTGTATATATACTGGCTAGTTTTGTAAATGATTTGGAGGATCATGAAAGCCTTTTATTCCATAACGGAAACATGTGAAACAAAAATGCATTTAAGGACTGAAATCTTAGCTGCCTTTAGAGTAAAAAACCAAATAGATTAAATTGTTCATTATTCCTCTTCACAGTTGTCAGTCCTGGGAATCGTCAAATTGTTTTGATTCTTTTTACTTTTAGAATACAGCATATATCACATTTATTGTAAATGTATTTTGAATGTCCGATTTTGTCAAATTTGAGTTTCCTGTAGTAAAGTCGACTGAAAATCACCAGATATTAGCAAATGTAATGCAGAATGATTTGTCGCACATATTTTTAAAAAAGAATCGAAGTATGCCGTAATTTTATGAACTTGCGCTGTACAGATATATGTATCAAATGTGTAAGAAAATGACTGTCGTAGAATTTAACCTATAAAGGGACAGAGTGCGGAATCTGCAATGTTTTCTAACACGGTCATAATGAAATTGACAGCGTTGCCACCCATCCTGACGAACGCTGCACACGCGGCGGTCATTGTGCTAATGGAAAGGCAAACTGGAATGCATCAGAAAGCCATTAAGCTTTCATTTCCCGGGCTGATGTAATGGGGAGAGGGTCCTGCCTCGCTCTCTGCCGTCACTGACACTGGCTGCCTGTCCGGTGCCGCTGATGAAATACCATCCCCACCCCCCTCCACCCGTCCCCTTTCGCCACGGGCCCGAAACAACGGGACGCTCACTTCTGAATATCGAGTCCTGCTTTCTTGACACCTGCCATGAGATGCGAGAAGACAGCGAGCCGCCAAGGTCCTGTGACAGCGAGGCCGCTGGAGCGGGGATTTCAATGGAATCCTCTTCTCCCTCTCTCTCTCTTTTTATTAAATGTGCAGCGGCTATTGTAACCGTGGTCCTGTGTCACCAAAAATACAATTACATGCTGAACATACTTAAGATCGTAGCCATGAAAGGATATGTCAAAAGCTACATGCAATCGAAATAAAAAATAAATGAAGTGGACCTCAGTACACACACACACACACACGTTTGTATTCAAATCTTCGTGGGGACTAATTACTAATTAGATTAATTTCTATACTAAAAACCATAATCCCAACGTGACGACCTTAACTCCTACCTAGCCCTAACCTTAACCATAGGTAACCAAACAAATACGAGACTTTGGCATTCTGAGTTTTTTTTTATTGCAGTCACAGATTTTTCTAAAATTGAGTTTCCATCTTGTGTCCCTCAAGAAATGGTCCCCACAACGTCAAAACAGACATTTGTCCCCACAATGTAATATATACGTGACCTCCCGCCCACACACGTACAAAAAAATGTTTCCTAACCTGGCGGACAGAATTAAGTGTCGCTCCTGCCGATACGAAATGGCCCGACCTTCTCCACGCAGGAGGTCCTGAAATAGATACTCTGAAGTGTTCTGAAAAATAATGGCATAAATAGCTCTGATGTGAATTCCATATGGCCTGCGTTTGTGTGCAACTCCCAAATGCTTTTTAAAAACCCTGCTGTCTGAAATCTACACATTTAAAAATATCATTAGGGAGGGGGACAGCTCGACAAAATGAAGGCATACAGGAGACGGCGGCGGGCCTCGCTGACGGACGCGTCCTGTGATCGCATTCGGGAAACCGATTCGGTTGCTCTCGTGTTCCAGGACGTGCAGATTTAAACTGGAACATTACATATATCTAACATTTTATATATATACACACACCAAGTAAATGACCATGCCGAATTGAAAAAGCTATTATATTGGTTCAGGGGTTTCTTTCTAATAATTAATAATGATTTTTTTCCTCAGTGGAGAAAAGACATATCATCTGACAGAATAAAAGGTCAAGACAGATACAAAAACATGCTTACTACATGCTCGATTCTGTCTTTTTAAAAGGAACCAAATGTACTTCACAGAACTAACGAAATATAAAAATCCAGAAAGAGGGCATGTGCAAAATAAGCGGATCACACTGCAGAAAAGCAAAAGCAGGCCTGGCCTTGGACCAGTTTGATTTCCTTTCAAACTATCGTCCAGGCAATTGCATTTAGTTTGAATCTGACCGCTATTGTGTTGTGTAGCTGCAATCACGCCGCCATCTACTTGCACCCTGGTCACGACAGAAAGGTGTTACAGCCTCGGATTCTTGGTGCTGTGGCGATCGAGTCCCTCTGCGGTACCGAGAATCATCTACAGTGCTTGGCCGAATAGCACAGAACCATCTCACCAGCCCGTCGGTACCGGTACACACTGATTTCAAAGACGGGTCGAGCGTATGTTACCCGTCATTTTTTTGTTGGCCAACAGAGGGCAGCAAATGAGAGCCAGAAAGGGGATGGAGAGAGAGACTTTGACAAGATCAAGGCTTTGTTATACACAGAAGAAAAATGAACAGATAAAAAAGAGCTAAGATTAAACAATTTAACATTCCGACGTGAATCCTTGTGCTCGAACAGTAATCAGTGTCACCCGCTTTTCCAGATACATACACCATTCCTGTCTTATTGTTATTGTAACTCTGCACCTCCCCACCCCAACCAGAGCAACGGTGGCCAAGACAGACATTTAGCAATTTATTTTATCGCTATCTTATCTCCTAGGGACGGTTTATGAATAGTGGCAAATTTAAGCCTTTAAGTCAAAATACATGCGTGCCTTAATGTAAATACCGGCCTTCGTGTCGTTGTGTTCTCTCGAGTTGTTTGTGCAAAGGAAACCAACGGAAATGTTAAACTAAAAAATAAAACCTCAGAGTAAAATCACAACTGTAGCCAAGGAATGTTTATCAGCTGGAATATTAATACTTTCAATTTTTCTTTAATCGCTTGTTTTCCGAAGAAAGAGGGGAAAAAAAACATTATAAGCATGAAATCAGAGAGTTACTGCGGTGGAAATTCAAAAGCGGAGGTAGATACACAATCTCGGGAACATTTTTATTTTTGAAGGGAAAATGACCAGATGTCTAAACATTGGGCCGGGAGATACTTTTCTCTGACACCTGGCAACCGGCCATGACACCAGAAGACGAGTTTGGCTCGCCGTGCGATCCCGCCACATTTACATAATCACATACATATTTTATACTTCTGTTTTACATATTTTACTAGTGATCGTACATAATTCTAAAAGCTGACATGTTGCATTTGTTTTAATAAATTATTCTGCCGCCGATCGCCAGTTGGGAGATCCCAAATCTATGCACTAAGCAAACACATAATCAAAGAATTGCTTTTGGAAACCTGACTTATTAACTGCGTTTTTAATATTACGTGCGTGGGTTGGCATTACAGTAATTACGGTGGCATAAAAGTAGTTCTTAAACTTGGATCGAGGGAGATGCCGATGTCCCGCGCACAGTGACGCGGCGCTTTGCGGACGGAATGAGAAGCGGAAGCCGGGAGCCGCGCGCACGCCCAGCTGACGTTAAGAAGCATATTAAAAATTCATCAGAGAGCCAATTAAAAGCTGCGGCGACGCTCGTTTATTTCAGCCAAATTAGGAGGTTTGTCAGGCTGATATACAAGGGAGCGAAGCTGTGCCAGCAGGGTGGGGGAAACGCTTCGGGCTGCGATTTTGGCAGCCGTCCCTAAGTGCGCTGCTATTTGTAAGGTGCGTTTGATTGTATGTAATGATCGAGCCCCTGTTATATGCTTACTTGCACATTTGGCACGAGTGACTGAAATGCTCGTTAAAGGCTGGAGACAGTAAAAGATGCCTGTGGTCAGGTTCTCATCCTGTCAAAAAAATTGTTGCACCCCATCCACCAACCCCCCCACCGCCCGATCCCTCTTTCCTCAGAGCCGCCATCCGCCCATCTATCCCTGCCGAGCCTAATTTTTCAGCCGTGCCAGAATCAAATGCCCTTTTGATACGCATCCGGGCGAACCGCAGGGGGGTGGGCAAAGTCCAGTAACTCTAAAAAAAAAAAAAGTTGCAGGATTTTTCGCGTAATGTATTTAAAAGCATAAACAGACCTGTAAGAAAAACGCATCTTACTTATGAATTGCTGTCAGATGGAAATGCTTAATTGCCGACACTTAAAAGATATCTGCCGCAAACCTATAGTTTAATACATAATAAATGCGCATTTTACATTAGAAATGTATACCCTTGATTACGATCTACTCTGAAGCACCACGTCCAAATCTAAGGTTCGTCTTCAGTTTCTCACCGTTAATGACTTGCGTGGAAATGCTGCATTGGAATAGTCTGCTATGAGTCCTTGGGGAATTCGCCCTAATTGCACGTCTTTATTTTTCCAGGGATTGCTTAACTACCGAGCAGGCAGAATTCCCCATTAGCCCGCTATTCGTCTGTGTACTGCGGCCAGGATCGTTAAGTAACAGACCTAAGCATGTGAGGGTCAGAGCCCCCCCCGCCCCCGGGCCGCCCCCGGGCCGCCCCCGGGCCGCCCCCGGGCCGCCCCCGGGCCGCCCCCGGGCCCCCCCCGGGCTTTCAAAGAGCCTTTGGCTCCTGACTCTCGCCTTGTGGTCAGGTGACTCAGACCGTGTAATGGCCTTCTGGGAGGTGGAGTCCTCAGAAAAGGGCTTTTTTTTCCACGCGCAGAAATGCTTTGGAATTTATCCAAAGGAAATGTTCCTGAATCCCACATGGAAGTTTGTTTTATATCTATGATATTATATCTGCAGAGGACTATTTTTTAATTAAGATAGCTAAAACATGCAAGATAAGGTTAAAATAAACATCGTAAAACTGTTTCTGTAAACTCTACTATAACAGCAGATTTTTCTATAATAATATTGTAATAATATTGTTATACTAAAGGTGTTATGAACATAGAAGACCTACCATAATCTAACAGTAACACTAAATACAACTTACAATACGCACACACTATCGGTCAGTGTTGTACTAAAATGACTGTACGCTCGTGAACGAACACACACAAAACTTGGGAATATTTGTGACAGAACATGGCAATGAGTCACACGAATTTCATTTTTAATACACTGGCAGGCATAAAAACACACTGCACTGTTATGTCTTGCCAACACTTTAGCCAGCACTGATCTTATTCTGCCCCAGAGAATAGCTCTTTTGGCAGACAACAAAATGCACTTTTGGCTTATTTCCCACTGAGTTTCAGTTGTCATGGTAATATGAGCGTGTTCTTTAAGGCGGATGGAAACCGGGCCGCTAACAGCTGCTGGATTATCACTGATGCACTGCGCTGTAGAAAGTGTTCCAAAAAGCCTTGTGAAAAACAGTGCACAGGACAGAAAGCGGCGTTTACAATCACCGACCGACAAATCTGCACGACCTCATTTGCTTTGTGTCATTTATAATGCCGTATTTATTGGCCCAGGACTATTCATCAATTACTTCTTGTCCTGGAAATGGTCAGGATAATGCTGAACCAAACCCGGGTACGAATATCGCAGGCATGAGAGAGGCCGGGTGTCAGACGCGTTTGCCGAAGGGCACCGACACGTCCACACAACAGGAGTGATTTAAAAGCACATTTTTAGCAGGATGCTGCAGCGGTGCGGGGGAGGGGGAGGGGGAGGGGGGGAAACAAAGAGGTTCCTCATGGGACAATCTGGGGCTCTTCTCGCACCCGCGGCCCGGGGGCCGTGACATCACAGCGCCACCCGCTAGGCCGCCCTGCATTAATGACCCAGAAGTCATTAACGAATACCGATAGCTGGAAAGCGACTTTATCGCGCCATTAACAAAAGCGTTATCTTTTTGGCTCGTTTTGCTGGGTGCGTGGGCATACTTATCTACATTTTCCCAGGTCATCCCCCCTCCCAAGTTGAGCCACCAGCGTGGGATATTTTGCAGCATGAGGGAAGCGTTCAAGGTTGAATGGGGTGGGGGGGGGGGGGGGGTTGTCGGGTTCCGGGGGGGGGGGG